TTAATGAGAAGCGCAGGTATACACACAGAAATGTACATATTACGTTCAAGTAAATTGTACTTGTTTTAAGTATTTCGCAATTTCATATACTCGTGAGTGTTAACGTGTAAAGGTCCATCTGCAATAATCGGGACAGCATTCTCGTTCGAGTGCTCGTAACATTGTTATGTTGGAAATCGCAGTGGAAAGTGGATTAAGGAAGTTAATGAGAAGCGCAGGTATACACACAGAAAGATACATATTACGTTCAAGTAAATTGTACTTGTTTTAAGTATTTCGCAATTTCATATACTCGTGAGTGTTAACGTGTAAAGGTCCATCTACAATAAGGTCGGGAGTAGGCAATATAAGACACAAGTAGTAAGCAAATTGATCAATTGCAGTCAATTATTACGAGAATAATTTCAAGACTTATCAAGAATATATCCTTTGTTAAAGATAACCATTACTTAAAAGGAGGAAAGTAAACTGAGTAATATCATTTTTCTCGACATAGTAACATAGAACGTTATGTTTTTAGCATCGGCACACACATACAACGCGTGTTTTTCGTGCTCTTTAGTTCATGCACATTTCGATGAAAGTGTTGAAGCAGTTTATAATTAAGGTTTTAATTATGGGTTATTTGAGGTTAGAACTTTCCATCATTTACATAAATTTGTTGTACGTTAAAATGAACTATATTAACCTTTATCGTAGTGTGATAATAAGAATCTTAAACACCAAAGTTTACTATGCACTGAAAAAAAAAAGAATTGTTGCTATGACCAATTTTTATTGGCTTTATTAAAATTTTTTGCCGCTATCATTTACATTTTTGAGGCAAAGAATCGGTAGGTCAACGTAACCAAAAATTAATTCTTAAAGTCAGAAAGAAAAAAGTTATATCATATTTTACTATTTTGGCTGACGCTACCATTTTTTTTTCCGTATGATCATGGTGTAATCACGAAAATGGTAGTAGTAACACGCACGTAAGGTTTCCATCATTAACATTACAGTAGAATTTAATAAAAAGAACTTAATAAAAAAATGATTCTTTTGACCACAAGTTATAATTATATACATTATGGTTTTATTTAGTTTCTATCAATATTTATATTATGCTTCTCCTGACCACAATTGACCACAAAATAATGAAAAAAGTAATTTGGAGCACGTTTCATCCGGTGAAACGTGACATACTTCGCCAACTTTATCCTCATCACACGAATACGCTATTTTGAAGGGCAAATGGTCAGACTATCTTCTGGAGAGATACCAGTCGCTGCACACGTAAAGGTCGTTCTACATTAGTTGCAAGCAGCCAATCGCATGATCGCAAGCAGCACTATTTCCGGTTGTAAGCTAGTCGCAAGCAGTAATCGCAAGATTTGCCAAAGTCCAAAGTTTGCGCCTCTGCGACGTTGCCACAACCAATCAATGTTGAGCTCCGCATATATAGGTTTATAGCATCGACTTGTCTGTTCTTGTTTGTTTGCTTCCATATTTAAACGTAAATATTGCTCTGCGTGTTCATCTTGACTTCGGTTCCTTTTTCCTGTGACAGAGTCTTATGGATGTTAATGAAACATTCTCGTCACTTGACTGTGACATGTGACCAACGATTGAAATGTAGAAGCTCATATCGCAAGAGTTTTGCGACAATGCGATCTTGCGATTGACTGCTTGCAACTAATGTAGAACGACCTTAAGAGACGTAAGACATTGCGCTTCCGCGGGGAGTGCGTTCACACGCGACCATCGCGCGGGCGCGACAGCCGGTGGTCTCCTCTCGAGGGTTCAAGGTCCACCCGCGGGAGTGATACCTCACCGCGACCGGAATAATGGAAAGAACCGTCCTGGGAGTTTCTCATGGAGTCAGGGACCCCGCGGCCAGGTTCATTGCCGCGCCTCTTCCCTTTTGCATCTGCATTCTTCCGCTGTCCACTTTTCGAAGTCGTCGCTCTCGTTCGATCGTTCGATTCGACCGTCTCGCTCTTTCTCGGGAATCTTTTGTCTCTTCTTTCCGCTGTCGCGTACTCGACGACAATCCACGTCTTCGCGTGGAGCAATTGCTTGGAAAATTTCACAGATGGACGTCGATCGGACATTCTCGTATTCTGTATCATTTTAGAGTGGCGAGACTTGCGAGAACTCGAAAGATATCACGAAGGAGCTACACCTCGATGAGCAGTCGATAGATATGTAACGCGTTCTTCTCTTCCTTTTCCCCTTTTATTTTATCTGTCTCTTACCTGTGTATTTCTGAAATAATCCTCTTATTAGTTTATTGCCCTCGCATACATAAGCGTCCAACGTTATCGAACGTTATTCCTCCAACAAAAAATACGTCCACGTCAGTTCCTTCCTGCGACACGGCGTCACGCACACGTGAACGCGCTACGGTAAATAATACATAGGAGGTAATGTAACGCACGCGCACACACATACATACACATTTATACACACACACACACACACACACATGTGCACATGTCGCTTGACGCTTCGGCTCGTAAGCGGATAATCCGTTTCAATGTGCGGAGAGAGGCGAAGCATTGTTACACACCGCCGAGACTAATTACGTCGCGCGCGCCCGCGATCGACAGCTTACTTACTTAAGTCGCGCGCCAGTATTAGCGTTAATTTCAACTTGTCAGATTTAATCCGCTAATTTGTCTCGCTGTGACGCTCGAGATTACACGCCGAAGGTGTCGAGCGCGCCGTTTTTCTCACGATATTTTATTCACAGTTATTACCGGCATAATGAGTCCGGCTTATTAACGTGCTTAGCGATCCGATCAGCGCGTTTCTTTTTCTTGTTTTCCTTTTTCTTTTTTGCTCCTTCTTTTCCTCGCGTTTCTTCCACGCGCACGATCGGAAATACTCACGATACAACCGCGCGTAGTCGTCGTAGGGCAATGATAGATTGCGAATACGGAATCGCGACACGACAGGACACGACACATTTTTTTCGTTTGTTCGATTCTCCCGCGCGTTTCACCGCGCTCATCGCATTCGTCGACACGATATGTGTGTGTGGCACGCCACGTTTTATATTCAAATACAGATATTACGTTGCCGCTCGGCCTCGATCGTTGCTCGTCCGTAATGCGGCTGCGTCTTATGATCCGTGACCGCATTTTTTCCCCGGATTAACGAACGTTCAACCCAAATTGTCGCGCCACGACGGCAGGTAGGGAGAAGATGGTCCAGCCGGCGCTACTCTCGGAGATGACCGCCGATAAGGATTGAATCACTTTCGAAAATTGCCAAGCGCTCTCTGAGATGGATCCCCCTCGGCGGTCGCGCCGGAAGTAGACCGGAAATCGGTCGTCCCGCCGCTAGTAAGACCACTCGATTTCACACACGCGGATCTCCGCTGTGTGAACACGGAATTTACCGAAAGTCTCCCGGACTGGGATACAGCGCGAGGATCTGCACTCAAAAATATATAATCACATCCTTAGCGGAATTCTTTTGGCCTCAAGAAGATTCTAAAACCAGGAGGAAAACATTCACCTAAGGAAAAAATTCCAGTTGCACAGTGTATCCTCTTGAGATGCCACATATAAGATAATTCCGCCAAGTATGAGATTATGAGATTATATTTCTTATGTGTAGACGATTCACGCGTTAAGAACAATTCCCAAATTAAATAACATTAAATCGCGTTATTGCAAACTCTCACTGCAAACTCGGTGCATTCTTGGCAAGTGTTACTTCACACGAGAAAAAGGCAAATACGAGACACCCTCGTGCGACATACAGAGGAAGTGTGAAAGACACGCGAGTTCTTCGCGGCCGACAGATGTGAAATAATCGCGAGGCTCGCGCGACACAATGTCTCTCCCGCACATCCTGCCTTGCGTTTCGCAAGGCAGGAACTCACCTAGACGACACGGGGAGTAACGTCGTGATGGCTCCCCGTGGTCGAAGGGCGCGACGCGAGCCCAAGTGTTTATCCCATATCGCCTTGTATCACTCACGTTTTTCGTCTCTCCCCCTTTCCTCGTTCGACAGGATGTTCCATTCACGGGAGTCTTGAAAAGGCGGTAACCGTAATGACCGACTGACATCTCGCGTGAACGCAACCGTCGTCACGGCACGTTCGAAAGCACATCGCCGTGTCGTCCGCGAACATCTCCATTGTTAACAAACGGACGAAAAATAACGCCGGGGATGGCTGCAACTCCGCCGAAGATCGCTTCGGGATAATTTGCGATTGTACACGGATAAAGAGAGAGAGAGAGAGAGAAAGAGCGAAACGTCGCCGAGAAGAGTTCGCGCGAGGCGCAGGAAGCGCCGCGCAGGATTCGCAGGCTGTAATTTTGGTCCGCTTGATCGTGCACACGCAACGAAAATACTTTCCCGGCGAATTTTTTTTGGATCATGATGACACGTTTCGCGCTCCGCCGGAGAACGAGCTCATCGCGCAAGCTCTTTTCGGCACGGGGAATAAAACGGAAAGGAGAAGAGGCACACGCGGGACCATCGCGTCCGGAGATCTCTTTTCGATCCTCTTGCCGTGCGATCTCGATCTCGGCCACGTAGAACGAGGGAGAGAGATATTCTCTCAGGAAAAAATGCTGTTGAATCAATTAGTCGACAATATTAGTGTGAAAAATTGCTGTGAAATTTTGTTTCCAAAAATTAGATTGACATTTTGTATTAACTATCTTTTCATCTCACATACGCTATTTGCATTTTAATCCTCCATCTATTTCGCGGGTAGTTTTGGGAACATTTGGCACTTCAATTGTCTGTTACGGAAGTTTCGCTACGAAAGAAAAGTGATAAACATTGGCGACCAAGCAACGTTCTGCCTAGAAAGCAGAGACCTGAAATAATGAAAATAATTACTTCCAATAACATTACTCGATTACTTCCAATAACATCAAGAGGATTCATTCAAACTATTGGCCAAATTTGCCGATTCATTTGTTTTCTGTGTAGAAACTTGTCTCACAAGCTCGCTCTCTGCTGCAATTGTTCTAATTTATTGATTTTCTCGTCAGGTCGGCGACGGCGGTATCATAGTGCTGGACGCGACTCTGGACGCATCTACGACCGACGACATCGACTGGGAGATCTCCGGGGGTCCGCCATCGCCCTGCGACGTGTCGTTCCTCAACGACAACGTTCTCATCAACGGACGCAGCAATCTCTCGAGGACGCCGCGAAATCACAAGGTGAGTGAACTCCCCCGCCGGCGATTGTACGGCTTTTCCGAGCGAGCCAGCCGGCCTCGTCCACTCTCCGAGATTCACTCTCCAGAATATCGCGGTAAGAATCGTAATGCGTGTCGTAAGATCGACCGTTTGCACGCATCCATGTCGTTCATATTGCAGGTCTTATCAGCGTCTTTCGCTCGCGTTAAATACCGCATGCCGATAAGGCGTAGATTTTGCGTCTATCTAATCTAATCTGGCGTCGTCCGTGTGATTACTATCAGACTACTTCGCCAAGTCGAAAAGCGTACAGTGCGTAATGCGTATTACTTTCGAGATCGCCGCTACGGCGTGAGAAAACAAGAGCCCTGTCCTAACACCGTCCGTGAGATCGGACACGTAATGTGTCAGCGAGACTCCCACGTGGTTCCAGGAGATTTTTTCTCGGGGAAAAGAAAGAGAGGGGGGGAGAAAGAGAGAGCAGGGGATTAAATGTATTTTTGGCTTACAATGACAAGCGTCGGTTTCACGCTTCTAGTCCAGAAACAGCGAACTGTTGACGTTCTCGGTTTCGAGAAGAAGATATTTTCCAAGTTTCAGTAAATATAGAAAGTCACATCGCCACACAGAGAGAACGATTTGTTGAATTAAATAAACGTTTCTTTGGAATAGTTCAAATAAATTATTTGGTTAATACAACAAAAATATTTCTTTGGAAAAGCAAATAAATGTTTTTGTTGTGTCAAACAAAATTTTGTTCGATCAATCAAAAAATTCGTTTGGACTGTTCCAAAGAAGTGTTCGATTTAACCAAATCGTTCTCTCTGTAATTTATCGTATTTTCGTTTCTGCTCGTATTGCAGATCTTGAGAATTGTTTGCAAGCGAAAACAAAAGTCGATTCGCGATCTTGTGCGTCGCGTGGCCTGCTGACACTAAAAAGGCTCGGCACGATTCCAGCGGGCTTCGAGTTCCCAGTATTGTCTGTGGTTTTCGAAATATCGCATCTAATTAGACATTACACGTCGGTAGCGCGATTAGACACGTGTTAATTCGGAGGTACATTTAACGCGCAGGATTTATGTGTCTGGTTTCGAGCCGCATACACAGAAAAATATTCCACTGCTAAGAGAAAGCGATTGCTCAGTTTATTTGTCTTCTTTTGAGCAATCTTCAACAAAGTATTTATTATTTCTTAAATATCTCTTCTTGCTACTATTTCTTAAAACTCTTACTATTTCTTAAATATCTCTTATAGAGATGAAATTCGTGTCGGGAGATCCTAAATTGCGAATCCTAGTCCGCTATATTATCGTCGGGACATCGGCGTCTGCGAAGCTGGCACGACGTTTTACAAATTAAAAAAAAAAACGACAGTTCTATTAACACTTTTCATAGTTCTAGATAGAGTTCTAGATAGAAAACAAAAGGAGTTCCACATTTTTAATACCGAAAAACAGCAAATAAAAAATTGAGGAGAACTCTTGCTAAAAGTAGCGGTATTTATTTATTTCTTGTATTTAGAGGAAAAGTGTCGTGCTAGGTTCGCGAAGTTAACACAACAATTCTTCATTTGCTGTTTTTCGGTATTAAAAATGCGGAACTCTTTTTGTTCTCTATTTAGAACTCTAGAACTATGAAAAGTACATAGTGTTACGTCCTGCGATTTATCTTTTTGGTGCTAACCCAGTATCGTGAATTTTATTATTTTAGTCGTGAATTTAGTTAGTTTCGCGAGGACGCGTTTCAACGTGAGCGGCTACGTTGAAACTATTAGCAGGCTGAAAGGCCGAACACGATTGTTAGCGGGATCTCGGGGTACGCGACTCTTTATTCTGCTTCCACGGCAAGGTCAGGAATCGATGAAAAATAATCAGGAGGTGATTTAGAGTACGAAAATAAAGAGGAATTTATTAATAAGAAAGTGCACGATATTAACGACGCACGGCAATAAGCGCGGGGTAATAATATTATTTGTCAACTCACTTTAGTCGCCAGGTTCCCTCTGTCATGCAGAAGATTTCGAAGCGCTGGCTGCGGCTAAAGAAGAGTGTTGCCTTGGTGTGGTCGAATCTGATCTAACTATTTTACACTCGCGATACTCGTATAAGAGGTTTGGAAAATGAGGAGTTTAGAGATCGGAAACGTGGATCTAATAAGTAGTCGTCGATGAGCAAATAGCTCGGGAAATAGGGAAGCGGAATGAACGAGGACGTAGGACTAGTAACGCCTTCGTGGGAAAGACAGGGCTAGGAGTTATCGTGTTGATGATCGGCAAGCCGGAACGTCAGCAGGGCCTCAGCGTGTTCTCCACGGTGTTGCCAGTGAAGAAAAGCGTTTTGGCAGATGATGCCTTGGAGTTTCCCAGCGGAAGAGTTGCCTTGGAGTTCTCAACGACGGCCAGCGAGAAGAAGGAAGTGGGAAGTGGAAAATAGAGCCAGAGAGGCCCCTTTTAAGCCCTTCGGATAGTCGATTAGTGGGGTGATTTTGGAAATCGAAGGACCAGCAGTTTTCCTGAGGAATGGATAAGGAGGGCTTGGGAAATCTAGTGCCCAATGGAAGTTTCGGGAAAAGGAGCACGGAGTAGGGTTTAGGAAGTTGATAACCAATGAAGTTCATGGAGAAAAGGATGAGAAGGAGGAGCGATTCATAGAGTCTCAGAAAAAATGCGTAATTTAGAGAGATTATCTGGTCGGTGCTTTACAAGGTTTATAGGTTTACAGTATTTATTTAGGATCGGCGTCAGCTAGGTAATTGGTACCTAGCCAGCCGATAGCACCAAGCAGAATATTTCACAAAAAAAAAAGGAAAATATTATTTATTATCTTAGTCGCCTCTTCTCTTCTCCATCCGCTTCTGAAATTATAAGATTACAATATTTGGGGCCGCTGCCTCGGGCCCGATCGTCGGAGAAGTCGCTAGTTCTTAGATACGATTACAAGAAACGTAAAATGACATTGAATGATGGATGTCAGGAGTTTTTTTTAGGATTACTGGGAAAATGTACGAGTAATAAATAAGTATCGAGTACGAGTAATAAGTATGAAAGTACGAGTAATAAATAAGTATCGAGTAATAATAAAAGAGGAAGAAAGAGAAAAAGAGAGAAGAAAAAAAAAGAAAAAGGAGAAGGCTAAGAGGATAACCGGGGAAAAAGGATTACGAAAAAGGGTTCGGATTTCTAATACTTGCCTTTCTTCTCTCTGGATGACGTCTCGAAATCTCGTGACGTAACAACAGAGAGAACGATTTGGTTGAATTAAATAAACACTTCTTTGGAATAGTCCAAACGAATTTTTTGGTTGATCGAACAAAATTTTGTTTGACGCAACAAAAATATTTATTTGCGACTTAGTTCCAAAGAAATATTTTTGTTGTGTCAACCAAATAATTTGTTTGAAACTATTCCAAAGAAACATTTATTTCAATCAATAAATCGTTCTCTCTGTGTGCTGATAGAACTGTCATTGTTTATTTTTTTAATTTGTAAAACGTCGTGCCAGCTTCACAGACGCAGGATATCGTGCACACATCGCGTAGGGGTAGCAATTGCGGCTTTCTTTTCGCATGGCGTGTAACATCGATGCGATCCACGTCGCCGATGATAGACGGTGAGCGGATAAGCGAACAAAGCGTCGTTTATAAAAGATACGCGAGCCGCTACGGCTTTTGTGAGCCCGCAATAATGCCCAATAATGCGCAATAATACGCGCCGACTGCACGCATTACGCGATACGAGCATTCGCGATGCTGATAGCTTATCGCAGGACTCGTTCCACGGCTTCGCGGAGAGAGAGAAGAGAGAAAGAGAGAGCAATTGTATAAATATTGATATTAATAGTAGCCGCGCGATAATTCCGCCCGACTACCGAACGAAGTGTGCCACCTCGATATGTCGACGCGGAATGATTTCAGAAAGGATATTCCGGTGTAACAGACGCGGCGAAACGGCGAGTGTGCAAAACACGCCGCGGAATTTCGCGAACGGAACCGGTCTAAACATTAATATGCGGAACCGGTCGGTCTAAATGGTTTCTCAATGCGTGCAGAGTGGGATAAGACGTGTATTTGCGAATATGCGTCTTAATTAGACGTCCTGCATAATTAGCGCTACGTATCACGTTCCAGCATTTCGTTAACTGTTACGATAACGTTTCTCGAGTAACGTTCAGATGCGCGATCGTGTCTTTATTCCTCAATCGCTGCCTCTAGCACTTCTCATTCTGTATTGAGAAGGAGATATTTGGTGTTTGTGATTATAATCACACAGAGATATAATTGCCATAAATTGTGGCCAAGAAAACGATTTTCTCTTCATTCAATTCTACTACAATATTAGTGATAATAGCTTTATGTTCGTGTTACCATTTTCGTGTTGGAACGACAAAACATATGGGTGGGGCCACAAATAACTGTAAGAAAAAAAAGAATAGCCAGAAAGATAGTAAAATATGGCATAGCTTGCAGACAAATCGGGCTATCTTTCATGATCCGCGAAGTCAGACAGTCTGTAATCACGTTGGGTGCAGTTGTCGCGCGCGATTTGTATAATTGTTTCTATCGAATCGCTCGATCTTTTCCGTTCAGCGATCGACTCGCCGTTTCGCTCGATTCGCGTGACTTTCTCACGCGGTCGCGCCGCGTCGATGCGACGTTCCGCGATGGGGAGGCAGCTTATTACCAACACCGATAAAACGGCAATTTGTAAGTAAAAGTATCGTGTACCGAGGACCGCCGGTGATTTTCGAGCGCCTCGTCGACCGAGTTAATCTACCGTGCACCATGGGAATAAACGTCGACGAGCGATTCCGCGCAGATGCCGCGAGTCGGATACGGTAAACGCGCAGGACTTGGCCGGAGAATTGACGGTTGATCGGCTTGCGATCGATCTCACTCTTTTTAATATTCGAGTTCGCTCGAGTCTGTATATCCTCAGACTGTCGCGCAGTGTAAGATTCTAAGATATTTCCGCCCAGTATTCCGAGTTGTTTCACACTAAAATTTACATTTTCATTAAAATAA